TTCATTTCTGTGGGAGCATTCAGAGGACAAATTGTGGGAATTGGTCCTCCTGGGAATTGAACTCAGGTGGTCAGGCCTTGGCAGCAAGTACCTCTAACCCACTGAGTCATATTATCACCCTCTCCACTCCACACCTGTGTTTTCTGCTCCAGCCCTCTGCTTCTCAGCCTAACCCCATGATTAATCATGCTTCATATTGAAAGTAAAGCAGTAAACAAACCCTAATTCTTAGGATACTGTAACACTCTTTCCCATTAATGTTCATGTAACAATCCTGCATGCACTCGCACATACACACACACACACACACACACACACACACACACACACACGCACACACACTCACACACTCACTCACACACACACACGCACACACACTCACACACTCACATGGCACATTTTTGTATCTCAGGCTGGCCTCAAAATTCGCTCTTCACTCTGACCTGATCCCTCTACCTCGTAAGTGCTGGGGTTGCAAAGGAGCATCCTGGTGGCTGGTTTATGCAGTGCTGGAGACTGAGTCTACTGCCTGCTACATTCCCTAGCTCTGTTTTTCCTCCATGCTGGAAGTCTTGTCTTTTCACACCCCCCTACAACATCCACCCCAACCCTTACTGATGTTTCAAACTGGCAGCTCAAGGGTCTACCCTAGGTCAGATATTGCTATTTTGGCTCATGGGGTGTTTCTTTTTTAAGCGTTTGAAATCATGGGCATTTTAAATTGTAGACCCTGTCTCAAAAAGAAATAAATAAAAACCAGAAGAAAGGAGACCAAGAGAGGGATAATATTAGGTGACGAGGAAGGGGGAATGTAGGGAAAAGGACATGAGTTAGAAAGATGGTATAAAACTACTTTTTTCCCCTTTCTAGTTTTAACTTTTTTCATAGTTTTTTTTTTTTTTTAAATTTTGGTTTTATCCATGATGGATAAGTGAATTCAACTTTCCAGGTATTGAAGAAGTAAAACACATAACATAAGTAACTATCCAACTAGCTAATTAAGGTAAGTGTGTGTTAGTGCAAAGCCCTTACTTAAATGAAGGAGCTGCTTGAGGTAGCCACTTTGTGTATAAAAACGTCACTGAGCTGTACAGGGTTGGGGCCTGGGCATGTGTTTGAGTGGAGTCCTTAAACCGGCTGTTATTTGTGAGTTAATTAGAATATATATACTGATTTTATTTAAATATTTTAAAAGTGCAAAAGATGTCATCTTAAAAAAATTTTTTTTCAGTCTCCTAAGAAATCGACGGTGACAGCCTTGTGTCTCAGGTCTTTGCCGGGCTGAAGGGGCAAGGCAGCTCCTCCCGAAAAGACACTTGATGGATCGTTTGCTACGACGGACGATCCTGGGTGCTCCCTATTGTTTCTTCCAGGCTGCGCAATGCCTGTTTGTTTCTATTTTCTTTGTGGTGCAGAAACACTCTTCCGGATTTGCATTTTGTTTTTCAGCTGCAGAACTGAGAGCCTTCGGGAGGCTCTTGCTTGATTTATTTTATTCTTGTGCTGTGCTTTCCGACGAGCTCTGGAGGTGTTTGCAGTCTGATTCCTGGTGCCAGCATTTCCATCCGCCGCACAATCATGTCTGCTGCTCAGTTTGGCCCTTCCTGTTCACCTCCAGGATATCAGTAGCCATTATCGAGGGGGACATCCAGTTCATCCATAGGCTCTCGGGACTCTGCAGGGGCCTGGCCCAAATTTTGTTGAGAACTATTTGGGAAATTTCATATCCAGTTAAACACCCATGGGTGGCAAGTATTTGTGGAGATGTAATGTTTAAATTAAAGTTAGCCTTGAAGGAAGGGCGGCACTCCAAGCCGACGGCGCCAGGAGAAGGAGCGTACCCCTTAAATTTCGTTCAGCAGGTGTTCTGTCCCTGCAGAAATCTCAAAATGCCTCTGTGAGGTGGCTGCTTTCAGGGATGAGCAAGCTAAAGCTCAGAGAGGTTGTGTGTCCCAGGACACACAGCCTGGGCATGGCAGAGAGCGTCGCAGACACATTTCAAGGGCACGCAGTTAGCTCCGTGCTGGCTTTACCTGCTACTGATAATGCTTGAAAAGTTTCTGTACCCGGATAAGCCTCTCCGCCAACGACGCAGCTATCCCCAATTAGAAAGCTCCGGTTTAACCGGTAAAGCATGATTCTCCGGCCACCCCCAGAGAGGAGACAGGGACGAGAGACGGAAAATCCATTGGTCTGTTTTCTGGGGTGTAGTTTAAATACTCCATGGGAGTGGTCTTGAGCCTCTCTGGGGGAGGAGCTGTGTTTGGTGGGACTTTCGGAGGAGCAGGGTCTGGGCAGAGAGGTGGGGCTTCCATCAGAACAATGCTCAGCAGCCTGAAAATTACAGCCATTCTCTTCCCACGGGGCTGGCAGGTTTTAAAAATGTGGGTGCTTGGGATTCTAACTCCGGCCTTCATATATTTAATTATAAATATTTAACATATATATATTTGTGTGTACATATGCATGTATATGTGTAGGTCCATACAGTTCATATGCATGTAAGTACATATTTCAAGTTAATTCATACCTATCTCCATTGTATAAATGAAGGATCATTTATTTAATCATCGTCTTGTTGATAGATATCTAAGTTGTAATGCTTTGTTTGACCTTTCTGAGACAACTCTTTGTCTAAGCTGACCTCAAGTCTGAGACCTTATCTTGGCCTGCAGAATGCTGACATTGCAGCTGCTCTTGACCACACCCAGTGGTTGTCGATATTTGAGTCAGGGTCTCATGTAGCCCAGGCTGTTATATTGACCTCACCTCGTAGACGAACTTCTCTTCCTCCTACATCCACTTCCTGAGTGCTGGGATTGGATGTCTGTGTCACCACAGTTTACGCCCAGTTTGTGCAGTACTGGGGACCGATCCCAGCACTTTGTGTGTGCTAGGCAAGTGCTCTACCAACTGGGCTACACACCCAGCCTCAGCTGTAATACTTTTAACATATCTGCATTGCTTAAAAATTAACGTGTGTGTGTGTGTGTGTGTGTGTGTGTGTGTGTGTGTGTGCGCGCGCGCGCGCATGTGTGTGCATGCGTGCATGCGTGCATGCATGTCCATGCAGGTACTCTCAGAGGCCAGAAGAGGATGTCAGGTCCCCTGGAACTGGAGCTATAGAATATTGTGAGCTGTCTGATGTGGTTGCTGGGAACTGAACCTGGGTGCTCTGCAAGAGCAACCAGTGCTTGTGACTGCTGAGCTGTCTCTCCAATTCCAGTTACCCATAAAGGTGCATATATAGTAGCTCCAACCATGAATACAAAGAGCTTTGTGTTGTTTTTCTTTATCTCTGTGTGATGTATGCAAGTGTGTGTAAGCAGAAGCCCATGTCGGCACACACAAAGGCCAAAGGATGTTTTCCTCAATTCTTCTTTGCCTTGTTTATTTTGAGGCAGGGTCTTTTGCCAAGCCTGGTGGATGCTCACTGTTTTGGCTACACTGGCTGGCCAGCAGGCCCCTGGAATTTTGTTCCTGTCCCTCCTCCAGTGAAGGGGTTACATATGTGTGCTGCCTGGCATTTTTTTTTCTTTTCTTTTAATGTGAGTGCTTGGGATTTGACCTCAAGTCCTTACGCTTCTGCAGCGTGCTCTACCCACTGAGCTGTGTACCAGGCCCTGGAACAGCTTTGTTTTGTGAATATAGACAGAGGAGTGGCGGCTTCCACAAACATGTGGATACAGGATAATTTCCCTCTGTCATGCGTAGGTGCCGAGGATGGGAACATCACTTGTGGGGGTATGCATATGTTTAGCCTTAGCAGATGGTGCGGTGGGGTTTTACTAAGTGGTTGTTAGGCTAACAGACACTCCCACCAGCACCCGTGAGCCAGCTTGCTTTTAAAATCTCCCTCTGAGAATTTCCCAGGGAGATTTTATATCACGGTGGGAGAGGGAGTGCCAGTGTCTCATTTCCTTTTTAGGGTTTTACAGTTATTGAGGATTACTACGAAAATGAGTACAGTGAAAGTAAGCAAATACCGGACCATGTTCTGACTAGAGCTGTCCCATTGGCCCCTGAAGCTGCTCCCCACTTCCTAACGAAGGGGCACCCCAACAAGGGAGAGGCTAAGGACACCGCTGCTGAGCGTGGCATCTCACGCCTGTAACCTCGGTGTCCAGGAGGCAGCAGCAAGAGGGTCAGGAGTTTGAGGCCAGCCTGGGATATATAGTGAGTTCGAGACTACCCTGAGCTAATTGGCAGTGTCTCAAAACAAAACACGGACTGGTGAGACAGCTGGGGGGGGTGGGGAAAGTACATGCTACTCAAGCCGGAGACTTGAGTTCCATTCCTGGATCCCATGGTGAAAGGAAAGAAGCTGTACACACACACACACACACACACACACACACACACACACACACACACACACACACTAAAAATTTTAAAAACCAGCCAACAAAGCAAACAACAGATACATTGGCACCAAGCTGAGGTATTCTCTTTGATTCCTGTTGAGAGCAACTGTTTCGTTTTTTTTGTTTTTCCTTCCAGGAATCCCTGGATGGTCTAAAATCTTTGCCAGTACCCCTTTGGATGTTAGACTAAGTACAATAAATATTTTTGTTCCACAGCATCTCTGGTGGTTAATCTTGTCAGCTAAATTACCATCTACGATGGCAATTTAGAATCACCATGGAAACCCTGTGGGCATGTCTAAAAGGATGTTTCCAAATAGACTTAACTAATTAGGGAAAAACCTACCCTGAATATAGGCACCTGCAGTCCATGGAGTGGGGTACGGGACTGAATAACAAGGAGAAAGGGAGTTGAACACTGGCCTCCGTCGTTCTCTGTTTTCTGACTGGGCGTGCAATGTCACCAGCTACCTCATTCTCCTGCAGCGGTGCCCCCTCCCATGATAGGTCATGAGCCAAAGTAAACCCTTCATTTTTAACTGCCGAACCATCTCTCCAGCACCCTGCCATCATTCCAGCAATCGGCACCACGCCTAGCACGATCCACTAGATGACAACGTGTCTGTCCGTCCTTAGGTTTTGAATCCTGTGCCTGAGGAACACCCCAGGACGCTGAAACGGAGAAGTCAAAGCCTGCCTTGGAAGGCCCGCCTCCTCCCGAGGAGATGCAGGGCCTGGGGCCTGAGCAGGCACAGGGACTGCTACCTCGGGACGGCAGGGCCTGGGAGAAGCCATGCCAACCCACCTTCCCCAAGGACTGGGAGGCTGTGGATGTCGGGGCCTCGAGCTGCGACAGCGATGAGAAAGGTGAGGGGTCCTGTGGGAGGTGGGCAAGGGAGATGCCCTTGACAGAACGTAGGGAGGAGCTGAACATCCGGTCTGTCACTCACTGAGGCCACGGACACAACGTGTGGAATGCTGAATTGGACAGCTTTTGCTGCGTAACAAGTCACCCCATCATTTAGTTGCTTAATGCAACAAGCATGCATGGGTTCATAATTCTGTAAGTCAGCCATTTGATGTGACCTCGGGGGACATGTCTCCTGTTACCTGTTTCTGCCTGTGAGGTCATAGGGAGCTGGCCGACTCACACACTGGGCGGACTGACTAACTCGACTGTGTTGAGCCCTGTGTCTCCAAGAGGTTTATTCTCATGGGTGGTGAAGAACAGGGAATGCTGGGATGCCTAAGCACTTAAAGTTTTAAAAAGTGTGTGTGTGTGTATGTGTGTGTGTGTGTGTGTGTGTGTGCAAGTGTGTGCAGGCACCCCCAGAGGTCAGAAGAAGGCACAGGATCCTTTAGAGCTGCAGGTAATTGTGAGTTGTCAGATGTAGTTTCTGGGGACTGAGCACATGTCCTGAAGAGCAAGCACAGCATATACTTTCAACCACTGGGCATCTCTCCAGCCCTCCTAATCAGTGAGCATCTCTCCAGCCCTCCTAGGCACTTTGAAAGCCTTTGCTAGCATCTTGATCCTAGGTTATTGGTCAAAAATATGGCCTGATTAAGGCCAGGATCGGTGAGGGAGGGGTTGCTGTGTGAAACTTTTCATAGGGAGACATCACACACACACACACACACACACACACACACACACACACACACGCATACACACACACACACACACACACACACACACACACACACACACACACACACCACACACACCCCTCACCTCAGATAAGGGAACCCATGATTAAGGTTACTAACAAGAGCATGGATGGGAAGAGGTCAGAATGTGTTGTTAAACCCACAATGAACAATTCAGGCCCTCCCCTCTAACAATTATGCAGCTCAAATGTCAGAAGTGCTGAGGGCATTAAACCTGCCTTTTTTTTTTTTAAGCTGTTTTCCAGAATGAATGGTAGGTTTAGGAAATCAAGAGTGAAAGGAAAGAGGTCAGTTAAGAGAGACTCCTGGGCCAGCATGACGGATCAGTGCATAAGGATGCTTGCTGCCAAGGCTGATAACTTGAGTTTGATCTCAGGGACCCACACGGTAGAAGGAGAGAACTGACTCCCGCTGTCCTCTGACCTCCACATGTGTGCTACGGTGTGTGCCTCCACTCTCCCATCAAAATGTTAAAAGAAAGAAGTAGACTTTAAGTTTTGCATGGTAGCTGACTCTTGTAATTCAGTACTTGGGAGGCTGAGGCAGGAGAATTGCTCATGAGTCTGAGGCTAACCTGGATTCGATAGAGAAGATTTCCAGGCCAATCTGGGATAAATAAAACTCGAGTCTCTGCCAGCTTCATTCTGCTTAGGATTGAGAAGGATGCCTAGGTTGCAACTGTGTGGAAAATTCTTCCCTGGAAGCTTCTCTCATGGAAGGTAGAGAGACTCCTGGAGTAATTCTTTCTCTCTGCTCCCTCATTCAGATCTTGGCTGGAAGCTGGCCAGGGAGCTTTTACCTTCCGGACAGGTGAATGGAGGAGTTTAAATCATGTAGTCAACTGCAGGGTCTGAATTTAGGCCTGACATGTTATCAGCCCCACATGAACCGTGTGTGTGTGTGTGTGTGTGTGTGTGTGTGTACACATGTATATCTGTATGTGTATACACATGCACATCTGTGTGTATGTGTTTGTATATGTGTGTTTATACATACACATATACGTGTATATGTGTGCTTGTATGTATATATATATGTATGTGTGTGTTTGTGTGTGTCTATGTATATATGTATGTGTGTGTGTTTATTTGTGCTAGGTCATTAGTAGACAAGGGATGGGATGCCATGGAGAAAGCAAGCGGAGCCTCGCTGAAGTGTCCTGGTTGCTCACTAGCAGCTCTTCTCTCCTGTTTCTTTGTCTTCACAGATGTGTCTTCTCAAGACACTGGGCTGTCTCAGGACTGGAGTTCGGTAGACGAAGACGATGAGTCAGAGGACTCCCAGGTATGTGGAGGAATTATTTCCGTTAGCAAAATGTTACCCTGAGCCGGGCGGTGGTGGCGCACGCCTTTAATCCCAACACTCGGGAGGCAGAGCCAGGGGGATCTCTGTGAGTTCAAGGCCAGCCTGGTCTACAGAGCGAGATCCAGGACAGGCTCCAAAAGCTCCACAGAGAAACTCTGTCTTGAAAAACCAAAAAAAAAAAATGTTACCCTGAAGATCTCAGCGACTTGTCACATTTCCTTCCTCAGCCTGGGATGACTTCTCTGCACAGAAGTTCCAAGCGCTCTCTCATGGGAGATGTGGCACATTCCTGTGGTGGTCAGACACAGCGGAGGGTCCATATGGGACATGTGTATATCTCTATGCACACAAACATCCATAGCTCTGCACTTATAGTCAACATATCCATCCACCCTCCACCTATCCACCCACCCTCCACCTATCCATCCATCCGCCTATCCCCACCAATTCATTCACGCCGCTTATCTATTAATCCACCTACTCATCGATCCATCCATTCAGCCAGCCAGCCAGCCAGCCAGCCAGCCAGCCACCCATCCATCTACCCACTCATCTATCCATCCACCCACCATCTAACCCAGGAAGACAAAAGTGAGTAGGAGTATTAAGGTAACAAACAGGTATCTGAGGTTGGAGAGATGGCTCAGTGGTTAACACTGCTTTCTACTCTTCCAGAGGACCAAAGTTCTGTTCCCAGCACCCAGGTCAAACAGCTCAGTTTGTGACTCCAGTTCTAGGGGACCCAATGCTCTCTTCTGGTCTCTGTGCATCCTGAATTTATGTGCACATCACCCATGACCACCGCAGACACACATACATGTAATTTAATATAAATCTTGGGCTGGAGAGATGGCTCAGCAGTCAGGAGCACTGACTGCTTTTCTAGAGGACTCAGGTTCAATTCCCAGCATAGCAGCTCACAACCATTCATAACTCCAGTTCTGGGGGATTAGACTCTTCTGGCCTCCACAGGCATCAGGTATACACATGGGACACATGAGACACATGGAACACAGACATACATGGAGGAAGTCCACCCCCATATACAATAAAAAAAAATAAAGTGAAAGCTTAAAAGACTAAAATAAACATTAAGGAAAGAAACATTTGTCTGTAGCCACATGCCCCTACACATGTGAACATGCATGCACACAAAACACAAACATGTGCAAAAAAGTTCAAGGTGGCTATTATATTTAGAAATGAATATGTTTACACAGTGAGATAGACAGTTGGAAATTCAAAAGAAGGGTTGGGTTAAGAACCAGACACCTGTGGCACAAAGCTAAGGCTTTCTATACAAGTGATATTTTGAAAATTTCATCCCTTTATTCTGATTTTTTTTGAAACACAGGTGTGTTGCTTGCTTCCAAGTACTGATTTTTTTTTTTTTTTTGTTTTTTTTTGGTTTTTCGAGACAGGGTTTCTCTGCGTAGCTTTGCGCCTTTCCTGGATCTCGCGCCGTAGACCAGGCTGGCCTCGAACTCACAGAGATCCGCCTGCCTCTGCCTCCCGAGTGCTGGGATTAAAGGCGTGCGCCACCACCGCCCGGCCAAGTACTGAATTTTTAAAGATTTATTTATTATGTATACAGTGTTCTGCCTGCATGTATGCCTGCAAGTCAGAAGAGGGTACCAGAGCTCATTGCAGATGGTTGTGGGCCACCATGTGGTGGCTGGGAATTGAACTTGGGACCTCTGGAAGAGCAGCCAGTGCTCTTAACCGCTGAGCCATCTCTCAAGCCCTTGCTTCCATATATTTATCTAATATCAGTTCTGTCATGCAATTTTAAACTCAAACAACTTCTCTACTGGTAGAATCCGAATGCTACAATCTTATTTTCCCTCAGTGAATGCTGCCAACCTCCTTTCTGTCCAGTGCTGATATTTTCTTTCTTTCTTTTTTTCTTCTTTCAGGGCTTTATGGAGTGGTCCAGAGCTCCACAGCAAACAACCATTGTGTTGGTAGTATGTGTGCTGTTCTTATTCTTGGTTTTAACTGGGATGCCCATGATGCTCCACATTTAACTATCACAGTAGCTGCTGTATGAAAATGTAAGCCCGGTGTCACTTAAGAGACTGTCCTAGCTTGAAACCATGAATGGGTATGGAACATTATGAAATACCTTTCAAACATCCATTGAGATGAGTTTAGTATGATCTTTAATTTATTTTAAAGATTTATGTTTAATTATGTATGTGTCTCTGTGTGTATATATATGTGCTTTATGAGTGCAGTTCCCGCAGAGGCCAGCAGAGGGAGTCTGAGCTCCTGCAACTGGAGTTGTAGGCAGTTGTGAGCTGCCTGGTATGGGTGCTGGGAGCAGATCTCTGGTTCTCTGCAAGAGCAGTAAGCTCCCTGAACTGCTGAGCTGTCACTCCAGCTTCATGAGTTCTTTCTTTCTTTCTTTTTTTTTCAAATAACCCTTTTAGTATGAGGTTTTTGTCATGACCAAGATTCATTTAAATGTATACATCATTGATTGTAAAAAACACATATTATTTTGTATACTACTGAGAAATTTTGTTTACTGCTGAGAAAGAAAAATGTGAATTGATTATAAGACATTATGAATTGGAAGACACTTCTTCAGAGAAGGTGAAAAATGTGCAACTTAAGGTCAATGATGAATCATCTTCTGTCTTTAAAAAATATTATATTACAATTTAACATTTTGCTTGCATGTGTGTGTCTATATACTGAGTATGTGCCTGGGGCCTGTGGAGGCCAGAAGAGGGTGTTGGATCCCTTAAAACTGGAGTTACAGATGGTTCTGAGCTACCATGTGGGTGCTGGGAATTGAACCTGGGTACTTTGGAAGAGTAGCCAGTGCTCCTAAATTCTGAGCATCTTTCCAGTCTCAACATCATAGCATCTTCAGTATGTATAGTCTTTTCCATATACTGCCTTCTTTTTCTTGCTATTTTATGTAAGGACTCTTGCCTCTTCTTGACGTGTTCAGTTGGTGCTATTTTTGTGAGGTTTTGGTCTCATGGCTTAAGCTTGCATCATTGAGAGATGTGAGTAATTTTTTTTACACTTTTTAGTGCTTTTGAATAATTTCTGTAGCTTGAGAAATATCAGATCTTTGGCAGTTTGAAAGAATTTACTGTGGCTGGAGCGATGGCTCAATGCTGCAGAGTGCATATCACTCTTGCAATTTGTTTCCAGTCACACACATGGAGCAGCTCACAACTGCCTGTAACTCCAGCTCCAGGGGATTAGACTCCCTCTTCTGGCCTCTGGTGGCACTACACTCATATGTATATACCCACTCATATTCTTCTTCAAGTACATATACTTAAAAAAATAAATCTTAAAAAAAATCTTTTTAAAGAATTCACCAGTAGTCAGCTCTGAGATTTGTGAGGGGGGAAATCTCAGGCAATGTTTGGATAGAGGTTTGAGTTATGTAACTCATTTATTAGTCATTACTATGATAATTCTATATCAGTAGTTTGTGAATAGTTTTTTTACTTCTTGGATTCATTTTGATGATCTATAATAGTCTTTTATCCTCTAGAGAGTTCTTCATTCTGTAGACCTTTTGAGATTATAAGCTTAAGTAGGAACACTATTTTTATAATTAAACAGAGAGATTCTCTGCATTTTTTTCCTATCACTGTTCTCCTTTCAACTTGTCTCTGTGGCCTACTTGTTATTTGGCTTTCACTTATCTGGTTCTTAGTGGTTCTGGTTTTTCCAAAGATGTAGTATTTGGCTTTATTTATAGCCATTGTTTCTTTTATTTGTCATTTACTTTTCAATGAATTAAATTATAAGATTTAATTGTGCTTAGTTCTGACCACTTTTATTTCTTGTGTTCGCATTTAAGGCTGAACACTTAATTTAAATTCTCTCTACACTTGCAATAATGACATATTTAATAGTAGAACTATCCTTCTGGATATTACCTTGGCCACATCTTGACATTATGTAATCAACATCCTTGCTTATTGTGATGTTTTGTGTAGCAGTCCTACTAAAGACTTGGAAGTTCAGTGGTTTAGTTTGTTTTTTGTTTAACAACCCTTTTGTGGTGGTGGAGGGGCTGGGGACATGGCTCAGTTGCTCTGCCAACATAAGGACCTGAGTTTGAATCCTCAGGATCCACAAAGTGCATGGCTGTCTGGGCTGTCGTTTTTAGCATTGGGAAGTGGCATTGGGTAGAGACAGTGCTCAGAACTCACTGGCCAGCCAGTTTAGCCAAAAAGGCAAGCTTCTAGTTCAGTGAGAGACCCTGTCTCAAGGCAATAAGGTGTTAAGCAAAGGAGGAAGACAAACCATGTCCTGTCCTAATTTCCACAAGCACATTCATGGGTGAGCACTTATGTACCCACATGTGTGCAACCAACCCACCCATTCATACCCACCCACACCCACCCACACCCATCCATCTCCCCTAACACAAAAGGTAAAAGAGTTGTGTAACTTTTATACCCTGCTAATGTAACCTGTAATATATTTGCTTCCAAAACACTTGGAAAGCAACTAGAGCTGAGTTCACGCCTAATATTTGTAAATATTTTGTGCATAGTTAAGATGAATATCTGCTCTTTGTAGAATAGAGACCCATCCATCTCCCCCAATGCAAAAGGTAAAAGAGTTGTGTAACTTTTATATTTTGCTAATGTAGCCTGTAATATATTTGCTTCCAAAACACTTGGAAAAGCAACTAGAGGTGAGTTCACGCCTAATATTTGTAAATATTTTGTGCGTAGTTAAGATGAATATCTGCTCTTTGTAGAATAGAGCCCCATCCATCTCCCCCAACACAAAAGGTAAAAGAGTTATGTAACTTTTATATTCTGCTAATGTAACCTGTAATATATTTGCTTCCAAAACACTTGGAAAGCAACTAGAGCCCAGGTCACGACTAATATTTGTAAATATTTTGTGCGTAGTTAAGATGAATATCTGCTCTTTGTAGAATAGAGACCCATGTATGTCTGTCAACTCCGACTCATCGATGATATTCCTTAGCTTCACCTGTTATGTGGCTTTGGATTGTGTGTCTGTTAATTTGATTTACCAGTATATTTTTATAATATTTGCCTTATGTCCTCACTAGCTGTGTAATTCAATATAAACAAATCCAGAACTATTATAATTTGCTGATTAAATGACATATGTAAAACACCAGGCACATAAGGCATATAATAATCACTCAATAAATGCCAGTTAAAACCTGATTCTGACTCTTCTATTATATTGAAAATGATTGCTTTTAGTCAATTTGATAATTTGAAAGTCTCCCTCTCAAATATAAATTGGTATGGGTGTCTTTTTAAAATCCTCTGTGGGTGTGGGCATAGAATTTATCCTCTGCACTATTTTGTTTTAAAGGGATTTTCTTTTTTATTTCTTTAGATGTACTTATATTATTTCGTGTGTTTGAGTGTTTTGCCTGGTGCCCACAGAGGCAGAAGAGTTTGTTGGATCCCCTGGAACTGGAGTTATGGATGGTTGTGACCAAACTCAGGTCTTCTGCAAGAGCAGCCAGTGTTTTCTTCCTTTTTAAAAAATATTTTTATATTTTTATGTGTGTGTGTGTGTGTGTGTGTGTGTACGCGCACGCGCATATGCACAGGTGCACATCTGCCTGTCTGTATTTGTAGTATGCAGTACCCACACAGGCCAGAAGAGGGTGCTGGATACACTGGAGCTGAAGTAACAGAGGCACAATGCAGATCCTGGAAACTGAACCTGGGTCCTCTGCAAGATCAGCAAGTGATCTTAACCACTGAGCCATCTCCCCAGCACCATGTAAAAACATTTTCAATGGCCTCTCAGGTTTGCTATAGAAATCATAGAAATATACATATAGAGAGAATATAGTAAATATGAGATGATCTCTTCCCTTTATCAGAGAGATTAGGGTTACTGTATCCAACAAGCAACAAACCCTTAAAAGAACATAGGCATCTGCTGTTACATAGTTGGGATTTTATTAACTGTAAACAAGAGACACTCAATTCAAATGTGTGTCTTTTTGTTATATGTTATATATTAATATATTATTTATAGTATAATCATTTATATTAATATATAATAATATATTATTGATTATATTATAGAATAAATGTACAATATATCATATAAATATACATGTAATTAATGTGCTATTAATATAGTCATTTATAATTAATGTATAATTATTTATATTAGCATATAACAACATATTAGTGATTATATATTATAAAATTAATAGATAACATGTACTATATCATTATATTATATAATATATAATTAATAATACATTATTAATAGAATTTATAATTAATATACCCATATCAATATGTTATATATTAATATGTTGATATGTTATATATGTTGAGCTTATTAGCATATTAATAAATATGTTAAGAGAACATATTTATTACGGATTCAGACACTAAAACTCGAGGTGCAGTTGGCTTCAGATTTGGCTCTATCTAGGGACCCAAAGTGTCAATAGGATTTTTCCTCTTCATTGATCTCACACTTACGCCTGCTTCTGAGACTGACAGTCCTCTCCCTCCTGTAGTCTTAGGCGATGGTCACCTCCTCCAGGTAGCAGCTCTCCTCAGAATGTGCAGGATCTTGTGTGTCTATCACTGGGGACTTCGCCAGTGTCCCAGCTCATGAAGCAAGCGCCACAGGGTGTCTTCAGGTCCGTGACAGCCGCCACGGGGTCCCAGCACCGTCAGTTTGTGCTTGGTGACCCAAGCTGTGTGGCCCTTCTCTGTGGACTGACTGGATAGTGCTCGGGATGGAGTCAGCTGGAGAAACCGTTAGCGCACAGCAGCCCGGAGGGGGTCATAGACAAGCTCAGAGGTGAAGAGAAGCAAATTCCCGAACTGCCAACATCCCTGACACATGGTGATCCCCTCCCCACACGAACTACAAGTTCTTCAGCCTCTTCTGGCACATTCCAGACAACCACGAAGTTGTGGGAAAGATAATGATGTTTCCCATGATGCGCCTCTGCTCAAGTGTGAGAATTTACTAGAACAGTTCATTGGACACAGGGAAACATTGGTTTTACTGTTACTTTTTTGTTTGTTTGAAAGGTTTATTTTTACTTTATGAGTGTTTTGTCTGTCTACAAGTGGTGCCTGCAGAGTCCAGAAGAGGGCATCAGAACCACTGGAACTGGAGTTACAGATGGTTGTGAGCCGCCCCACATGGGTGCTGGGAATTGAACTTGGGTCCTCTGGAAAATTTATTTTAAAAAGTAACCTATTAAGCGGGGTGGTGGTGGCGCACTCTGTGAGTCTGAGGCCAGTCTGGACTACAGAGTTCCAGGGCAGCCAAGGCTACACAGAGAAACCCTGTCTCGAAAAAAATAAAACATAATACCGCATCCCCCTATTAGATACAATTAGCTCTGTCCATATCTGCGGTGTATGTGTGTGGTCATCCACTGAGGCATGGGAAACCTACCAATGGCCTCCCCTCCCAAAGAAAAATGTCTCTTCCCTCCCTGCCAGTAGCCACCAACCGCTTTTAGCACCTCAGCTAGGGGTGGGAATTCAAAAGCCCCTCCCCATCCATCCTTGATTTTTTTTTTTTGTTGTTGTTGGTTTATTTGTTTTGAGACAGGGTATCACTATACAGCTCTAGCTGGCTTGGAACTCCATATGTAGACCAGAGTGGTCTCAAACCCACATAAACCCACCTGCTTCTGCCTCTTCCCCCTGAGTGCTGAGATTAAAGCATCATGCTGGAATTTTTAACTGGCTTGGTCCTGTGCGGGTTGAACGCTGGTAACCAGAGCTGCTGTGAGTTCACGGTTAAAAGCAGCACAAATCTCTGCTCCGAGAGCTGGGCGGAAGAAGTGGGGAAAACCCTAGTCAATCTTGTCTTCTTCAAGAACCTTGAAACAGTCCGATTTAAATGTCTCTTCGGGCAGGCGATTGTCAAGTGCCCCTCCCCCACTAGATGGCAGTGTTTAGTAAGGGACAAGGAAGCGGGCACTAACTGGAAAAATAAATACAACGTAAACAGTACCTGGAGATGCTTAATTTTTTTTTTTTTTAGATGAAAGGCTTGAGCACGGTGCTGAAACTTATTTTTGAAGCATATTTAACATACACAGCAGTTAATATTTATCACTCTAATGATTTTTAAATATTTTAGAATAATTTTGAAGGGACCGGCACTATTTTCCCACAGTGAATGTTAACACGTCGCCTTCCCACCCACAGTGCACGAGGTTTCAGTGGATCCATATCCTGAGAGCATGCCATTCTATCTTTGTTTTATTTATTTATTTGTGTGTGTGTGTGTGTGTGTGTGTGTGTGTGTGTGTGTGTGTGTGTGTGTGGGAGGGGGTGGGGCGGGCGGCACATGTGTGTGGAGGTCAGAGGACAATTTATGGGCGTCAGTGTTCTCCTTCCATCATGTGGGAATAGAACTCAGGCTGTTTAGGCCTGGCAGCAAACCCTTTTCCCTACCGAGCCATCTCGCCGGCTTCTGTCTTTGGGTCACAGGTGTGTATGGCTTTGTGACAGAACTTTTTCTTTTGAACAGGAAAAGGTAATTTATTTCCATTGTTTTTCTTCATTAATGTACGTTATGAAACGCTGCGCTGGCGCATCTCTCAAGCCTTGGGATCACAGCGTCACGTTCTCCTGCATACTGACTGTCTTGTAGCTTTTCCTTTAGAAGATTTAGATCCCTTTGCGGGGCGCGGGGGGAGTGTAACAGGAGTGGGGGTGCAGTATCCACTGTAGAGGAGGGGATGGAGGACCTGGTCTGGTTACCAGGCAACGGCTCGCTCAGTATCCGGGAGTTGAATCACCGAGAAGGAGAGTGAGCCAGGAGGTGGGTGGGGGAGGGGATTCGCCTCAGGCCCTGGCAGCTGCACAGATTAAGGACAGCGGTGCGCACATCCCTTGGTTTAATCAACAGCCTCTCATTTGTATAGTCACTTGGCTTAGGCTGACAATTTCATGCCTATTATTTGCATAAGTTAGGCCAGTAAATCGCAAGGCTTAGCTCATGGATCCCTGGGAGAAATCAAGACCTTTTCAGAAACCAACACATTCCAACACTTTTTTTTTCCTTCTCAGAACACTTTTTTTTCTTTTCTTCTTTTTTTTTTTGGTGGGGGTCATTTCCTATTCAGCTTTCCCCATGATGTAATAATGCATGTGTTTAATTTAGGAAGTAGATATGAGACAGAACGATGAAATGGCTGGGCGGTGGGGCATGGGTGATTACAACCAAGCCTGTTGACCTGAGTTTGAGTCGAGGAACCCACATGGTGGAGGGAGAGAACTGACTTCGGGGAGTTGCCCTCTGACCTCTGTGGGCACGAATGACATGTGCAACATTCCTCCCAAAATGAATAAATACTAAAAAGTAGATATGAGAATTCAACTGCCCTTAACTTCGGAAGGTATCAGTGGGATTTTCAAGATGAATAAACGCCGCGTTTATTATGAAGTATTGTTTTTGAGAAGTTAATTGTCTGTTCAAAGCATATAATAGGTTTGTAATTTTTAAGTATGAAAATTTCTCTGTTTCTGTTCATAATATGGAACATAAACATAGATATAAATCAAATAAGGAATTGTTGAACATTCACAGTAATTTTGAGACAAACCAATGTGTTTGAGAATTATTGCCCTAGGTGTAATTGGTAGAAGTAGTTTCCCTGTGTCAAAGAAAAAAAATATAACACTCATGTATTGGATGTGTGTGTGTGTGTGTGTGTGTGTGTGTGTGTGCGCGCGCGCGCGCTGCGCGCGCGCACGCGCGTGTGAGGAAGCCTCTGCACTGTGTGTGGAGGATTAATGACCTAAAACCTCAGGTGGGCTGAGAAGCTCTGGGTAGGAATCTTGACTTCACTGATGACACTTGTGGGCTGTCTCGTCCCGATTAAAAGAACAATTCTGCTTCTGGACATGTCCCCATCACCTCCATCAGTCCTGATCTAACAGTGTGGATCTCTTTCCGCCCTGTGGAGCCAAATCCTCAGCAGGCTTGGTGGCAAGCTCTTTTAACCACTGAGCCATCTTGGTGGCCCAGAATGCAGCCATTTAAACACGCCTGGTCAATGATGTTAGCTGGTTGTGAAGTTACGTGATGTTAGCTGGTTGTGAAGTTACGTGATCCTTAAAAATTTATTTTTATGTGCCTTGGTGTTTTGCCTACATGGATGTCTGTGAGTGAGGGTGTTGGGTTCCCTAGAGCTGGAGCTACA